ATTTCACTTTTTTCTGTAAAACATTTCACCTCTACAATGTGAACTTGAATAAAATAATTCTTGTTTTACTTAAATCTAACAGTGTTGCTTTGATTTAATGACTTCCTTCGTTGCTTTTCGTAAAAACATTGCAGCTAGATAAAATATTGCTGCGGGCAGCTTGGGCAGAAAATAATTTTGTCATGGATTTACACTACCAATATGAAACCGGGAAAGTCCTTAACAGCACCTGAAAATAGAGGAAGTCATGTTTAATTATAGTAACGATTCTGAAATTGAAATTCTCCAATCCGAAGTTTTGACGGCGAAAAGGGCCGAGAATTTATACGAAGGGGAGTGAGAAAAATATACTTTAGCACCCCCTTGTTATATTGGTGTCCCTATTTCTTGTTTTGGGGAATTTTCGGGCCATAAAAAACTCATATTCTATTGTCTGTCCATGTTTTGCCTTTTTTGAAAAAAAACACATGGAACTTAATCATCAAATTCCCAATTGTGGTAATTTGGAAATATTCATCCAAAATTTTACCCTTTACTAGTTTGGGCTTTTAACTTAAATCCAAATTTATTGTTTTTTTTTTGTCCCAAATATTTGGGGGTTTATTTTTTTTAAAATTGTTTATTATTAAATTACCAAATATTTCATTATTTGAAAAATTAACACCGCATTTGTTTTAAAAGCGGTGCTAGAAATATTTTAAATGACGATTGCTTTGTTTTTATCTACGTAAAGTAAACAAAAACAAACAATAAAACGTAAAAAGTAAGAGGATAATATAAATGAACTCTCTCAAACCGAACCAGGAGGACCCAACACCCACAATTAGAATACCTTTGACTGATATAAGAAATCCCACTGCTATAGGCAACTTTGCTCTAAGATCAACGATTCTAAAATGTTTGCATTTGTTTGAAGAAGACCACGATACCAAACGAACGCTTAGTACCACAAAAAGGATACTCCAATCAAATTAAAACTGATAAAGTCCTGAGAAATAAATCAGTAAACTGTCCGCCAAAATCCAGAAACTGCGGAGATCACGGGATACACAAAAGAATTAATCCCTTTTCGTTTTTCAAAAAGTCCAGGAATAAATCACTAAACCCAATATTTGAGCAATTGAATGCTAAAATGAATGAAATAGCCCTTTCGAGAACTCAATCACCCTTTTCCACAATAAGCAATGTCTAATTTTACTCCCTAGATAAACCCATTTAAAACTAATGTTTCCGAAAAGGCGAATGCTAAAACTAAACAAACGTTAATGGTTTGGTCATTAATTTCTTTTAAGAGACAGTGGACTGGTTTTTAAAATGTCTTTCAAAGTTTTAGTTACTTTAGTATACTTTTTGTCGTTTCTAACTTAGCTGCTGGCGTTTCATTTTTTCTACCAGTCGTTGATTTATTTTTTTTGGACTGTAAACCTTCCTTTTTTTATCAGCGATAAATTTTCTCTGAAAAATTTCTTTTTTATCGGTTTTTTTTCAACACTCGATATCTTTTTAATAAAAATTGTAGGATATTCTTAAACACTTTTTCACCATTGTTATCCCTAACTAATCATCTTCTCTGTCATTATTTATTATGTCCACTTCAGTTCTTTCTTCATCGTTATTTTTAGAATATATGCAATATTATCATATGTTTTCTGCAATAAACCCCGTTTCTGATACTTCCAGTATGTTTCAAATTTAAGGAATGTATCACATTTGTCTCTGTCCTGGGGTATCGATAAGATAATCTTTTCCATCTGTAAATCGTTTCTAATTGGAATGAGTGCTAGTGGTTTTGGCATTGAAACCACTTTCTGAAATTTGCTAATGATCAAGTGGTCCAGGCAGGAAAGAGCTTTTCGGTTGATAAAACAAACAATACACAAGATTTAAATGTATTGCTAGTGATACCTCCAGTATAAAAATGTTCTTGTAAGTCCGAATATGACCGACAACCACGACAGAAGAATATGGATAGCCAAGTGAAGCGAAACCAACGGCGCGTGTTTAATATGTGTTATGCTCATAATTTGATGACGGCCTTTGAATACTCTCCCTGCAACTGTTACACAACTAACGTGTGACAGTGATGTCCCAATCGCTTTATACATGAAACAGAAAAAATAAATGAATTAATGAAAATAATAATAGTAATTAAATCGAAGACAAATCTAAATCAAGAATTTTGTAAAGAACATTGCTGTGAGAACCCATTAATTAAATCACTTTTCAAGTCTATTTCTTTAGCTCTTGCGACCTATTTATGCTTCAGACTGGAACCATTTATAAAAAGAGGACCACCTAATGATCATTCATGTGAAGTCAGGAGATATTTTTTAAAGAAAATATGGACAACGACTTACAATGGAGGACATCCTAAAAGCTAACATCTGAGCACTTTTTGTTCAGGTGAGCTAGAAATGAGGAAGAACTGGAGATATATTTGTAATTGTAATATTATTGGTCACTATATGTTTCATTAAAAGGAAAAAAATAGACGTTTACATGCTGTGAATTCAAACATATATTATATATTGTATGTTCAATAAAAACAAACGATTTTCTTAGCTTTCGATCTTTAGTCTTCTTTAGAAAAAAATGACGTTTATAAAAAATAACAAATGTCGCTTTAACTAAACGTTCAAGTTAAATGGAACGTGATATTGAGCGAAAATTAATATAAAGCTTTGTTAAATAAAAACATGTTAGAGTTAAATACATGTACTAGACTAAGTACATACATTACTACATTAGTACAGCATATATACAATATTTTATACATTGAATATGGATCAACAAATGTGATGCAAATATTTCTTATGATTAGTTATACAAAAATAATTGCACGTAAGTTATAAAACATTTATTACACGTATATTAAAACATAGTAATAGAATTAAGTACCTGATGTGATTCCAATGGTGATGTAAAGGACGTGTATACTGGTAGCAAAAAACGATGAAATAAAACCCCAATTGGTACAAGAACCTAGCTATCAGTGGTAACACCATGCAAGGGGCCGAGTGTTGAGATAAGTGCTCCACTAAAACACACCTGTGAGATAAAAATAATATTTCAACTTTAATGTCACGTTATTGGCCCTGTGAGATATAAAACGATATTTCACTTTAATGTCACTTATTGGCCCTGTGAGATATAAAATGATATTTCACTTTAATGTCACTTTTTGGCCCTGTGAGATATAAATGGTATTTCACTTTAATGTCACTTTTTGGCCCTGTGAGATATAAAATAATATTTCACTTTAATGTCACTTTTTGGCCCTGTGAGATATAAAATAATATTTCACTTTAATATCACTTATTGGCCCTGTGATATATGAAATAATATTTCAAATAATATTTCACTTTAATGTCACTTATTGGCCCTGTGAGATATAAAATAATATCTCCCTTTAATGTCGCTTATTGGCCCTGTGAGATATAAAACAATATTTCACTTTAATGTCACTTATTGGCCCTGTGAGAATAAAATAATATTTCACTTTAATGTCATTTATTGGCATGTCATCAAGAATAAATGTCATTAACCATTCAGAAAATAAACAAAGACATGAATGATCAAAGCAAATAATGATTTCACATATCTTTATCGCAATACAATTGTCATTTTATCAAATTAAATAAAAATAGATCATATTAGAATTTCCTACTTAAATTACGAGTAAAAATGTTGTGAACTTTGCCATTTTAATCATTTTAAAAATAATACTGCTTTACTTATTAAGCACATACCAATAAAAAACTTACAAGAAAAAAAACATAGTTAGAAATGATATTCAGATTCAACTGCAATATCTGAGCAAAGTTTACATAAATGTTAATTAGAGATTAATATTCAAAATATGATGAAAACAAACTCATTATTTATGTTCGTTGACGGCTCTTTAAGCTCAAAGTAAGACTAAGTGGGGGTTCTTTTTGGGGGTTTTTTGTGTGTCTTTTTTCTGTTTTTTTTTTTTTTTTTTTTTTTTTTTTTTTTTTTTTTTTTTTTTTTTTTGTTCTGTGACATTTTCCATAGTTTTCAATAGTACATTGGCTGTAAAGGTTAACCATCTTATCAGCTTTTGCTTGTATAGAGTGACTTAGTATTTTGCATGGAAAACAAACAAAATACTACTTTGGTTTTAAATTCTAATTGCTTCCCTATGTCAAGTTATTTCACATTTTAAACTCTATTGTCCTTACATAACTCTGAGTCCTCACATTTTAGACCTTTTTACAACTAAGAAAAAATCGATCGGAAGTAGTATTTTCTCGCGCATGCGCAATCTGCATAGAAATGTAGTAGGAGTTCATAGACAATTCCGAGTTAGTTTTAGATAAAAGAAGAAAAATATATGAAATAGCTTTTAAAAAACGCATAAAAAATGCCTTTTAATCTTTGTGGCCAAGTTAGCCATGAAAAGGCATGGAAAATATGATTATTTAATAATTCCGCTTTACGATCACGGACCTGACATTGACATGTACGTATAAAATGTGGAAATATATCTATTAGCACATAAAGAGATCAACTTAAATGCTGTTGACATATGCAACATTCGTTACTATGGTAAAATTGTATTGTAAAAAGGGCGATATGCCCTTCCCAAAAATTTTCCCCAAAAACCTTATCAAACGTTTTCATATCCTATTGCTTTAGGAAAATGTGCCTTTAAAAGGTGATAAATAGCCCATCAATTTTACGCCCCTAAGATTTAAACTTTATACTTTTAAGCTTCTTTCACCCTTTAAAAGATAGGACTTCCCGTCATTTTCTAAATACCATGAACTTTTAAGAAATTTTTAAATCTTAACATGCTTTAAAATTTTTTTTAAAAAGGGCCTGTCAAGCTCCGAATTTTTTAATTTTTTTTTGGAAATATCTCTAATCAACTATGTGGATATCAAAATAAATAAAATACAGTTAGTCAGCCAACAATAAAGAGCCTGGTCAGACTGCAAGGATGTGCAGGCTGGCCTGGCTCTGTATTGGTGGCAAAGGCTGATCAAATTCGGTTCTAGAAGGATAAAGGTTCAATCTTCTTACCAAAGCCTAGGGTAACACCGGTCATCAAGGACTGTACCACCGCCGCCGTGGCTCTGTCCGTTTCATATGTTTCCATAAGGTCTATGTATAGAGCTCCTAATGAAAACAACAGGGCAAAGTCGACCATCATTACTAAAGTAGTAACTACTAAAATCAGCCATTTGTTGAACCTGAAATGTTATAATACGTAGTTTTGTAATATTAATAAACATTTGATTCTGTGTAAACTATTTTCGAAATGCTCATACAGGGCAACTGTGGAGCGATATTCCATTTGATATTCGCACTTCTCAAAAATAGCAATTTCGCTACAAATTTAACATATACAAATGCATCTATATACTATAGTATTTAGTAGACGTCTATATCAAAGTTTCGACATTGCATCGTTACTATTTTCACGTTGCAAAATGTTTTTGCTAAATTTGATTTGATTATGTTTAAGTAATTTGCATGAATAGTCAGTTGTATGTGGAAGATCTTAAGGAAGATATGATTGTCTCTATCTCATGTAAATAAAGTATAATCACTCATTCATTCACTCACTCACTCACTCATTCACTCACTCGCCTTTAAATCTAGAGTCTGAGATATTTTGTTCTGATCAGAATCTCGCATAGAAAGGAGACATTGCCCATTCATAAAATAGGACAATATCTCAAACTCGTTCATGTTGGTACATGTATTATGCATCTATATACTAATGTTTGGTATTGTATATAAAATGAATATTCGAATACTAGTATATTACAATTTATCACAGATCTATACTTATAAATGAAATCTGGAGAAATATTGTTGAAAGAAAATGCGCATTTTCATTTTTCGAAGTCTAACTGTAAAAGTTTTATTTTTCACTGCAATGAACCATACTTTCCGTATTTTCACTGGTGTCTTGCCGCAATATTGTCTGCATAATTCAGGCAATACGGAAAATTTAAGTAGAAGTCTTGAGAACTGTAGGTAAAAAAAGCGAAATATATTATAAACAGAAAATGCATTTTCTTGAAAAAAAACTTGAATATCCTCTACATACTACGGTGTTTCCTATTGGACAATAGTGATTTTTTTTATTTCGTCCTTACCCGCGATGCACATGGTACGATGGTGATACGCGATGGTACGTTGACACGATGATAAAAACACGATGGTACGATGGTGAAATTGCGATGTCACGATAGAACGATGGTGAAACACGATGTTATATCGCGTTTTCACCATCGTACCATCGCATTTTACCATCGTACCATGGCGATTTCACCATTGTACCATCGCGTTTTCACCATCGTACCATCGCGCCATCGCGTTTTCACCATCGTACCATCGCGTGTACACCATCGTGCCCTCGTGTTTTCACCATCGTGCCATCGCGCTTTCACCATCGTGCTATTGCGCTTTCACCATCGTGTCATTTCGCTTTTACGATCGGGCCATCGCGTTTTCACCATCGTACCATCGCGTTTTCACCATCGTGCCATCGCGTTTTCACCAACGCGTTTACACCATATCGTGCCATTGTGTTTTCACCATCGTACCATCGCGCCATCGTGTTTTCACCATCGTAATATCGCGCTTTCACTATCGTGCCATCTCGATTTCACCATCGTGCCATCGCGTTTTCACCATCGTACCATCGTGCATCGCGGGTACAGACTACATAAAAAGCACGATTGTCCAAACGGAACACCGTGTTATACTGACATAGTGTTTTAACATATATAACTAACTAACGGGAATATAATTATGAACATTTTATTATCTGCTAATATGTATTACCGGATCATGTATCTCACACTTAACAACAACTTCCATGTAAAATTCTTCTGTGGTTTGTTATGTCTTATATACTAAAAACTATCAATGGAAAATAATATGAGCCGCGTCACGACAAAACCAGCATAGTGGGTTTGCGACCAGCATGGATCCAGACCAGCCTGCGCATCCGCAAAGTCTGATCAGGATCCGTGCTGTTCGCTTACCAACTCTATTACAAGTAGAGAAACTGATACCGAACCGCATGGATCCTGATCAGACTTCGCATGGATGCGCAGGCTGGTCTGGATCCATGCTGGTCACAAACCCACTATGTTGGTTTTGTCGTGACGCGGCTCAATTATGTAATATCTGATCGTGTATCACAACTACCAACAACTTCCAGTGGTTTGATGTTGTGCCTAATACTATTAAATACATGTACATGTACTATATCACTGTAATTATTCCTAGTATATAACAGTCCTTCCATGACGAACCAATTCACTTTAAATAATATAAACCACTTTTATAATGTTGGCCTTGATTTAAAAAAAAAATCTACAAAAACACCAGATAAAATTCTTAAGCGGAAGTAAAAAGCAGTTTAGATCGACTACATTTATAACAGCTAGTTGCTCTTTCTTACCTTGTAAATCGTGGTTTATCCTTCCCCTCCATAATATTTCTTTACACTTGGAACTTTATTATCTATCCTCTCGGCTGCTGATATGTGATGTGCTCTGTGTTCATATCATCTATTAATTATTTCGGCAAAGTCTTTGAGAAAAATATACAATCCATAAACTAAACTGCTATTTTCTATGTTTTCTTTACACATCTTACCAGATTTGCATCATGCATCATTACAGTTATATGATTATTTACTTGAAATCATTTAAGCGTTACGTATAGTTCACTAATATGCGAAATGCTGATGTATATTTTTACATGTAGTAAACGGAACATCACAGAGATTCACTTATCACAAGTACTTCCCTTGTTTCCTATGTAATATAACCATTAGTCATTATATATTTCTCTATATTAAAATAATTATTATACTACTCAACTTTTGCTAAGCACCATATGTTTGAGTGTGAATAATTTTTGGCATAATTTTATTAACGCCGTGCGAAAGGTTTTAAGTTTTATCAATTCAGCTGAAGCACGAATTTAACCCTATCATTAAAATTAGTTTGACACTGATTTTGTGCTAGAGAAGAGGATGACCCCCTCTTTGAGGATTTCAGAACAAGAAGCGTGTTTTCCAAATTTTTAAAACTGTTGTGTTTTTTTGTGTTGTTTTTTTTTTGTGTGTGTTTTTTTTTTTTTACAATTTTAGACTGAATACCGTGTGTGTGTGACCCGTGACTATCAGCTACAGCTTGGCAGCGCCTTTTCATACTCCTTATAAGGTTTCTGATCCTTCTAACGGGTAAGGCTGTCCATTTTTGGACCAACATGGCTCCAAACACCTGGATGGCAGGCTGACACAGACGTCTAAATTCACGTGCAGGCGGGGCGCAGCTTGCATTCTACGTTCTGGTGCCTCTTCTTTATGGTGAGGCTCAGTTCGTCGACTTGCAAACTCGTCTCGTCTCACAGAACATGCTGACAAGGGTACGCAGGAAGCAGTACAAGGCCATCCATGACAAGCTGTTCGACCTGTGGGACAAGTATGAAGACGGAGACATAATTACAAATCAACTTTTGAAAAATTCAAGTCACATCATGGGCCTAGGACCAATTCCAAACAGTGGATGACCATTGCGACGACGAAGATCTTGAGTAGATTCTGACAAGAGGACAGTAGCATCCAGGAGCGGTTTAGGGGAGCTGAAAAATATATAAACTGACGTGTTTGTATATATGAGTCTGTAAATAAAACGCATATGTACGGTTATCAATTATGTTGTCTTGTTTATTTCAGTTTATTATTATTATTCAGTGTGGATAAATAAAATATTAAAAAAAATACTTGTTAATTGTGTACTGTTGTTTCATTTCAGAGCGTGTAACATAATTATGTGTAATAAACTATCTGAACCCCATCTGCGAATTATGATGAACGATGATTGTCGTGATTATGACAAGTAAGAGATTCAACAATATTATTTTATCACAAAACGTCAAAAGACTGTCTATGCGCAATTGGCGCAAAGATATAAACTGATAAAGATGTTAGCTTTAATCTTGTAAAAAGAAACCTTTTAACATAATAACAAAGTAAAGTATTTACGGCACAGTGACCCCAGATTTTTCGCCGGGTGCTTGACCAGTAAACAGAGCGCCTGAATCATTATGATTATGCGCATTAAACTGTGGAAAATATCTTTTCTACTTAATTGTGTCCTATCGTCAATCAAAGAAGATGTTGTATTGAAAAAGAATGAACAAACAATCCAATCAAGTAATCAGGTAAACCACACAACCTATAACCGTGATATATTCTCTGAAGACAGATATCCTCACAAATGCAAGTCGAATCAATTTACTTTTGCAAAAGAAATACAGATCAGTCCTCTGGAGTCAATTTTCTACCACACTAGAGACCGTAGGAGCCGTCTGGCTCAAGCTTTACAACCACAAAAATGCCATAGACTTCTACTAATAATTCTAGCCGGTGATATCGCAACCAACCCAGGACCTACAAAATTTCCATGCGGTGTCTGTACTATTAAACCAGTGGTTAAAAACCATCGAGCCTTGCAATGTGAATCGTGTGAATTCTGGATTCATATAAAATGTGGGAATGTGACACCAGCAGAGTACATACTGCTTGGCAACCTAGACGACCCATGGCTATGTAAAACATGTAATGATGTATCAATAAACCAGAAATGTACACATTCAGCTTACAAACAAGATACAAATTGTATAAATGGATTTACTGAACCAAATATAAGTGAGCAGGACACAAACATCGAACCTACATTGAACCTTGAACAACCTATAAATCATGAAACAACTTCTACCTGTTTTAATATGAATAACATTAATGACAGTCTTATATTCCAGCAAGGAGATCTCAGCTTTAACTCAACTATTTCTTATGTCTCTGAACAAAACCCCACTGAAGAACATAATAACCACTCGTTCCAAGATGACATAAATACCTCAACAAACACAGATGTAGATCACTTGAATGAACTCAAAAACCTCAGAAAAGCGAATTTAAAAAGACCTCTTATTTCACATCTAAATATTAATAGTGTGAAGAACAAATTTACAGAAATTCATGATATCTAATCAGAAAAGCTTGTTGATATGTTAATACTATCAGAAACTAAACTTGATAACTCATACAATAATAATATTTATGATTTTCCAGGTTATAAGATGGAGAGAAAAGATAGAAACAAACATGGTGGTGGGATTTTTATATATGTAAGAGATGACCTACCTTTTAGAAGGAGGAAAGAATTTGAATGTGAGTCTTTAGAATCAATGTGTTTTGAGCTTTGTATGGCGAAACGAAAATGGGGTATTTTAGCTATTTACAAACCCCCAAATACAAAAGATAATGTTTTTATTGAAAATATTACTGTTTCTTTAGACAAATTATTCTTAAACTATGACCATATTTTAACAATAGGTGACTTGAACTATGACTTAAACAAACCTGACAAATGTAAACCCCTCACTCAAATATGTGACACATATAGCTTAAATAATGTTATTAAAGGACCAACATGCCAAATGATAAACTATGAGCCATCATATTTAGATGTTATTCTAACAAATAGACCAAATCTAATCTGTAATACCATAAATTTTGATTCAGGACTGAGTGACTGTCACAATTTTATTGCTACAACCATTAGAGAACAATGTAACTTGACCCAATCTAAAATATGTAAATTTTAGATCCTACAAAATTTTAATGAGCAGGATTTTAACAAAGACCTGTCACAAGTACCATTTCATGTAGCCCACATATTTGACGATGTCGATGACATTTATTGGGCTAATGAAACCTTATTCAAAGAAGTAGTAAATGAACATGCACCAATCAAACAAAAAAAGGTTAAAAAAGAATCTCCCCCTTTTATGAATGGAGAACTCCGCAGAGCCATTTATGTAAAAAGAAACTTAGAAATTCATTTTTCAAATATAGAACTGATAAAAACTGGGAAAAATATAGGAAACAGAGAAATTTAGTTACAAAACTTAAAAGAAACTCAATGCAAATATATTTTTTTTGAAAGGTGTGGTGGGGGACCAAAGTCAAAACATTTCTGGCCTACTATAAAAACCTTTTCTTTCTAGTAAAAATACAGCCAAAAATGATGCTCAAATTATATTAAATGAAAATGATACATTAATAACAGATCAAAATAAGGTATGCAACATACTTAATTGATTTTTATGTTAATATAGCTCAAAATATTGGTATCAACAGTGATATAATGATTAATGAACAACACCCTAGTGTACAGGCTATCTCTGATAAAATCCAAAGCAATAATAATTTTGTATTTAAACCTGTTACATCTCAGGAAGTGCATAAGCTTCTGCACAGTGTGGATGGTAAGAAGGCCACAGGTATTGATAACCTACCTCCAAAAATTATTAAAGAAGGTGCTGAATCTCTTGCGGAGCCTATAAAATGTATAATAAATAAATGCTTTATTAATAATACTTTTCCGGAGTCCCTGAAAATGGCTCAGGTTACTCCAGTTTATAAAAAAGAAGATCCTTTTCAAAAGAAAAATTATAGGCCTGTAAGTATTCTGCCCACTTTCTCGAAGATTTTTGAACAATCAATAAATAAACAACTAGTTTCATACTTTGACAACATTTTTCATAATTTTCTGGCAGCTTTTAGATCTAAATTTGGATGTCAAACTACTCTTTTACGGCTAATAGAAGACTGGAAAAATACCTTGGATAGACATGAGTATGTAGCAACAATACTCATGGATCTGTCAAAGGCATTTGACTGTCTCCCACATGACATGATCGTATTGAAACTTAAGGCCTATGGCTTATCTGACACAGCCGCAGAACTTATGCACAACTACCTGTCAAATAGAAAACAAAGGGTTAAGCTTGGTAAAGCATGCAGTGACTGGATGTCAATAAGTAAGGGAGTTCCCCAGGGATCCATTCTAGGGCCTCTTATTTTTAACATCTTTATTAATGACATCTTTTTACTTTATTAAATTGGCCACTGTGTACAATTATGCTGATGACAACACATTATCTTACTGTGATACCAATATTGACTCTTTACAATCTATACTGGAAAATGAAAGTTTATCTATGATAAAATGGTTTGATAATAATCTAATGCAAGCCAATCCGGACAAATTTCAGGCAATTTGTATTGGAAAACAAACAACTAGTAAAATTAACCTCTTTTTGTTCTTAATAGTACAGAAATTGTCTGTGAAAAAAGCGTGAAACTTCTTGGTGTTGAAATAAACTCTTTACTAAATTTTGACTTACATGTATCTAACATTTGCAAAAAGGCTGCAAAACAAATCAACATTCTTGCTAGACTGAGTAAATTCTTAAATCAAAATACTAGATTGTTAATCTACAAATCCTTTGTTCGTTCAAATTTTAACTATTGTCCTTTAGTTTGGCATTTTTGTAGTAAACAAAATACTGAAAACCTTGAAAAGTTACAACATAGATCATTGAAGATAGTTTTTGAGGATTACAGCTCATCATATGAATTTCTTTTAAGTAAAGCTAATATGCCAACTTTACATATCAGTAGATTAAGACAATTAGCTATTGAAGTTTTTAAATGTCTGCAAAATATATCACCAAAATATGTTCAAGAACTAATTAAAGTAAATTCCTCTTATTACTCTTTTAGAAATAGCAACACACTTGAAGTTCCTAGAGTAAATACAGAGACTTATGGTAAGAAAAGCTTTCGCTATGAGGCCACCCAGGTCTGGAATAGCCTCCCGAATGAACTAAGAACAGAAACTGATTACGGTGAATTTCGGAGGCTTATCCAAACCTGGAGTGGCTTCAAATGCAAATGTTCTATGTGTGCCTAAGTGTTATGTTTTTTGTTGAGTTTTGAAATATGAATCAAATGAATCTGCATGCTTCTTTTGTTTCTTCTTTTGTTTTTCCTGTATTTCTGTCTGCCATAGAGTAATGCTGTATAAGACCTGTTTTATCAAGTAATGCTTTTCATGTGCTACTTGTGTGTATATTTGTATAGTCATTTGTCAGTGCATGTTAGTGTTTGTATATGTGACAGCTGCTGATCAGCTTTTCATATATCCCATAAAGGGGACAATAGCTTCTTTAAGTCTATTTTTACCTTTTTATTTCTACTTTTATTTTATTTTGGTTCTAATTAATTAAGTAATTAACTTAGACCATGAATTTATCTAGGCCAACTCAGATCAGCATCTGTTACACAAACATTTCAACATTTTAAGTTTTATTATTATGATACTTGTACATGTTTTAGTTACACCCATATTTTCATGACTGAGTACATATCAGATGCTGCTACTGATATGTGCTGGAATACTGGAAATTGGGTCAACTATATTTAAATAAAATAAAATTGAATCATTTACTTTAATTTATTTTAAAAATTTAAATTTTTAAAAAATTCTAATCCTTTTTCTGATTTTAGGGTTGTGTACATAAATAGAATTCTTGTATGATGTAATTTCATGTGATGTTTGATTGTAATGTATATTTGCTTTTAATCATTTAATGCTTTCTTACCCATATTTATATGTGCTGATAAATCTTAACTGTTTTACAGAGTCTTTCATAAATGTACATTGATCTTCTTAATACTTTTATATATTTTCTTTTATACAGATTGTTTGTTTGAATTGTTATAGGATAATAAGTTTTGTCGGAAAATAGCTTATATAGCTAATGTTTATATGTTTTTATGAAACCGACTTTAAATAAAGATTATCTTATCTTATCTTATCTTAGTAGGCCTAATAAACACTGAAAAACTGATAAACAATGTTTCCTTTTTCAGGTCTATGAATTTATGTTTTGACGTGTTCTGTCAAGGCTCAAATTAAAATTATGATAAACCCACTCTGTAGCTACTTACTTTACAAAACCTGTATACAATATACGAGTATTTTAAGGTATTAAAAATAATAACTATTCAACACTATTCAATGTTTTGGCCTCATCCGCAGTCGCAACATTTCGGCCCTTTCCGTCTGTCTTCGGTTAAGGAAAATAGCCGACGACAACCCGATTGACTTACCGGGATGGTTGACTAATATACGCAACGGAGTTAATTTGGCGCAACCCAGTAAGATCTACTGCGGCTGTAATATCCTTTTATTTATTTATTTATTTATTTATTTATTTATTTATTTATTTATTTATTTATTTATTTATTTATTTATTTATTTATTTATCGCTCTACTGTACTGAGTAGTCATAAAATTATTTATGCAATCTCGTAGACTTACAAGTAATTTAGCTATGAAAAGAGCACAGATGGGAAATATTCTGCACTAAATACAGTATAGAGGAGTAATGGGAAAATTTCTCTGATACTTTTAATTGAGATCTCTTACTGAAAGGAAGATTCCATCTGAAAAAAAAACACACTTTCATTTGGGATCACCTTCCCTAGGCCAAACAAATTGATACATGCGTTGTATGTCAAAAGAGACTGATCAAAATAGGAAGCCAGGCCTTTAAAAGATTTATAAAATCTGGATCATTTTCTTATCGTTAACAGTTATTTGATGTAAAACATTTAACTAGTGCGGAGAAGTGGTGTTTAGAGACTTATCAACAGTATCTTGAAGACATCCTAAATTTAGGTAACACTGATCAATGCCCAAAATGGTATCAAACCCAACACTAAAATGCTGAACTCCTTTATTAAACAGTCAAAACAAGAAACATCTGCTGTCCCCACATCAAAGTATGAAAATAAATTTCACCATGATGATGACTCAAAGGCTACAGCTTTGAATAAAAATTTCAGTCAGTATTTAGCCCCAAATCTCCCCTGTCACCTTAGCATGGTCAATCCGTCCATTCTTTGTCAGATATCAAAAAAGGAGCAAAGTGGATTGAGAAACGTCTTAATGACGTAAACTCTCATAAAGCCTTTGATAAAATAAAACCAATAATTCTCAACACATTTCCTTAAGTGCTCGCTCCAATTCTAGAGGTTATTTTCCAAAAGCTATCTCGATTAATTCTTTTTATCATCCCAATGGATATCTGCATTTGTAGCCCCAATTTTCAAGAAAGGTCAATACTTGCAAATTATAGGCCAATTTCCTTAACATGTGTTTTGTGTAAGGTTATGGACTACAAAGTTTCCTCTTTCATTATCAAACATTTTACCAACCAAAACATCCTTTACCAACTCCACCATGGTTTCAGGGAAAAATGTCATGTGTTACGTATATGTTAGTAAAGGGCCTAGTCACCTCAGTCTATGAAAAAAGCAAGATTCTTTAAATTTCAATAAGGCTTTCGATAAGGTCAGTCATGAGAAAGTACTGCTAAAATACACGAAAATGGAATCAGCGGTCAAACTTTAAGATGGGTCAAAAGTTTTGTAGATAATAGACTGCAGTCAGTTGTGCTTAATTGCAGCAGCTCAAACCCAATATATATATCCTCAGGCGTCCCCAAGGCTAAGTTCTAGGACCACTCTTGATTCGCACTTATAAAAATGACATCCCACAAAACATAAATTTCAAGATCTGCTTGTTTGTAGACGATACTGCAGAATACATTGCTATGACATCTGCAAACCAATCAGTCGCCCTCCAAAATAATCTAAATCTGTTTTAATATATATATGTATAAGCATGCAGCATATTACCTTACTCTCTCCCACAAACCTTTTTTAAAACATGAATATATTATTTTTATCATGTTAACAAAAACCTGGGACCAAAAAAAAACAACATCATTTTTGGTTCCAGCTAAAACAATGATGTTCGCGTTACATGAAATATTAACTAACAATCTGTTGTTTGTAGGGGGGAGTGTTTTCATTTACTTACTTTATGCGATTTTTCTGCTGGACATCTTTTGTACTGACCACACAGAAATTGCAGCTATAAATATGGTGCTCTAATTTAGAGTTTCCAATACCCTTAATTTCTCAAAGTATTTCTTAACATTAATTTTCTACCATCGCATGCAAACTATGAATTTCGGCAAATCGCGAATTTTCCAGTTCACAGCTATTTTCAACGCATATGGTTGCTAATCTAATTTAAATCAATTTCCCATTGTCTATAATGCAAAATAAAACGCTCTATTAAATGAAGAAATTATTTCTCTTTAAAGTACATCTTCTTCGAGAACGATTTATTATTTGATTCACAAACTAAATAGTGGACATTCCTTAATTATGCTGACAGTTAATGTGTCTTCGTCAAATTTTCGTTAGAACATGATTTCACAATTGAAGGCTTATAAGCAAATAACATTGCATTTGGAATTACAGAAAATAGTCTTCAGTGCATTGATACCAAAATATTTGTTTATTCCAATTTTGCACTTGCTTCCGCCCGTTGCGCCAAAAATCCCCATTACCTATATTAATCATAATGGCAATCGGAACAATTCGGCTATTATTCATATATGGTATATCCGTAGACTGACGGAAAGGGCCGAAAAGTTGCGATTGGTGAAACTGGTTTTAAAGCAAAGGGGGGTCACTGTGTAGAGGTTTTGGTTTTGCAATATGACACAAGTTACCTCACTTCACAATATGTGTACATTATAAATAAAAAGAAATGAATGAACTTTTTCCTGAAAGTATTTTTTACCTTTTATGTTGTCAGGTTGTCAGGTATAACCAAAGACATATAATAATATATATAGTGTCTCTGGTAGATAAAAAACTGACACATTGATAAACTACTTCAATTTGCATGTTTAAAGTGGATTGGTCTACAACTGGTCAACATTCTCCTTGAAATTTTATGCTCTCCCTACATTTTATGCTCCCCGTAGGGAGAGCATAAACACGCAAACTCGTCCGTCTGCCCGTTTGTCCGTGCGTTGTCTTGTTCGGAGCATAACTTGAAAACCCTTGAAAAAAATTTGTTTAAACTTCATACAGTGGTAGAGGGCATTGAGGAGGAGTGCAGTGTCAAATAACCATAACTCTATTCAGGTTTTTGAATTATCTCCCCTTTTAGAAAAATCTTGTCCGGGACATAACTCTAAAACTATAAGAGATATCAACATGAAACTTTGTAGGTAAATAGATCTCAATGGGTAGATGTGCAGTGCATAAGAACCATAACTCTTTTTTGCCTAATTTTGGAGTAAATGTATTATCTAAATAATGTATGTTTTTTTATGTTTACGTGGTGGTGGTGGTGGTGTTGATAGTTTAACCTCTGAATCACGGCAGTCTGCCATTTTGAATTCAACAGAGAACAGTTCAGCCACCTCTTAGTTCCTGGGCAAGCTGTCATAGCTGTTTACCAGTACTAATTGTCTTCTCTTAGGCAAGGAACTGATAATTTCCCTACATGCCAGAGCAGAGGAACAGTGCAAATGACCGTAGAAAGGATTTTATAATCAATTACATCGAAAGTGACTTGCACCATCCGGAAATCGAACCTGCATCGTCCGATCCACAGTACAACGCTTTACCTTTGAGCTTACCGTGCGGTTGCTTGTAACTCGATCTTATTCTTGTATAGACCTTGAGAATTTCAATTCAATTCAATATATTAATTCCATAACACATAGTAAGTATATAAACATAGTTACAGCAAATAATACAATACATAAAATACAATGGAAGCACATGGATTTCATTACATTGTTATTTAACATTCACTTTTTCTGTAAACATTTCAGCCTCTATAGTGTGAACATGAAAGATAATGTCTTGTTTGGCTTAATCTACAGTGTGCGTTTGATTAACCACTTCCTTCGTTTGCTTTCGTAAAGATAATGTCTTGTTTGGCTTAATCTACAGTGTGCATTTAATTAACCACTTCCTTCGTAGATGATGTCTTGTTTGGCTTAATCTACAGTGTGCGTTTGATTAGCCACTTCCTTCGATCGTTGCTTTCGTAAAAACATTGCAGCTAGATAAAATATTGCTGCGGCAGCTTGGGCAGAACATATTGTCATGATAACACTGCCATACGAACCGGAAATGTCTCTAACAGCACCTGGAAATAGAGGAAGTCATGTTTGATTATATTACATTCTGATTGAAATTCTCCATATCCGAAGTTTGACGGAAAAGGCCGAGAATATACGACTGTAAAAAGGAGTGAGACAAATATTTAGCACCCTTGTTTATTGTGTCCTATTTCTTGTTTAGGTAATTTAAAACTTATATTATATTGTCTTGTACATGTTTTGTATTTGAACCAAACACATGAACTTATCATCAAATTTTATTGTGTAATTTGTGATATTCATCAATACCTTTACTAGTGCTACTTATCAATATTGTTTTTATTGTCAAATGTTTGGTTTATTTTTCTTTTTTAATGTTATTATTATTACCATATTTCATTATTTGAAATTAACACGCATTTGTTTAAAAGGGTGCTGGAAATATATTTATGACATGCTGTTGTTTTAATCTACGTAAAGTAACAAAAAACAACAATAAAACGTTAAAAGTAAGAGGATAATATAATGAACTCTCTCACCGAACAGGGGACCAACACCCACAATTAGAATACCATTGACTGAGATAAGAAATCCCACTGCTATAGGCACTTGCTCTAGACTCACGATTCTAACTGTTGCATTGATTGAAGAAGACACGATACCACCGAACGCTATACCACAAAGGCATACTCCAATCATATAAACTGATATCTGTCCGGAGAAATAAATCAGTAACTGTCCGCAAAATCCAGAAACTGCGGAGATCACTGGATACACAAAGGAATTAATCCCTTTTCGTTCTTTCAAAAGTCCAGGAATAAATCTACTAACAATATTTGAGCAATTGAATGCTAGAAATGATGATAGCCCTTCGGACTCACTCAACCCTTTCCACATAGCAATGTCTAATTTTACTCCTAGATAACCATTTAAACTAATGTTTCCGAAGGCGAATGCTAAAACTAAACAAACGTATGGTTTGGTCATTATTTCTTTTAAGAGACAGTGGACTGTTTCAAAATGTCGTTTCAATTTAGTTACTTTAGTATATTTTGTCGTTTCTAACTTAGCTGCTTGCGTTTCATTTGCTACAGGCGTTGATTTATTTTTGACTGTACCTTCCTTTTTATCAGCGACAATATTTTTCTCTGGAATTTCTTTTTGATCGTTATTTTCAAACTCGATATGTTTTATACAAATTGTAGGATCTTCTTTAAACACCTTTTCACCATTGTTATCCTCTAATGCTAATTCATCTTCTCTGTCATCAATTATGTCTACTTCAGTTCTTTCATCATCGTTATTTTTAGAATTATATTTAATATTATCATATGTTTCTGCAATAAACCTCGTTTCTGATACTCCAATATGTTTCAAATTAAGGGATGTATCATATTCGTCTCCGTCTGGAGTATCGATAAGATGTTCTTTTTCATCCGTTATGGTCCTAATTGGATTAGTTCTGGTAGTTTCGGCATTGAAATCATTTTCTGACCCTTTGCTATGATCAAGTGGTCCATCAGAAAGAGCTTTTCGATTGATAAAACAAACAATACACAAGATAAATGTATTGCTTGTGATACCTCCAAGTATAAGAAATGTTCCTTGAAGTCCGAATATATCAGACAACCACGACAGAAGATATGGATAGCCAAGTGAAGCGAAACCAACGGCGGTGTTTAATATTGTAATGCTCATAATTTGATGACGGCCTTTAAACACTCTCCCTACAACTGTTACACAACTAACGTGTGACAGTGATGTCCCAATCGCTTTATACATGAAACAGAAAAAATAAATGAATAAATGAAAATTATAATAGTAATTAAATCGAAGACAAATCTAAATCGAGAATTTTGTGACGAACATAGCTGTGAGAAACCATTAATAAAATCACTTTTCAAGTCAATTTTTTTAGCTCTTGCAAACTATTTATGCTTCATACTGGAACCATTTATAAAAAGAGGACCACCTAATGACCATTCATGTGAAGTCAGGAGATATACAACGACTTACAATAGGGGACATCCTAAAAGCTCACCTCTGAGCACTTTTTGCTAACGAAGAACCGGAGATATATTTGTAATTGAAATATTATTGGACACTATATGCTTCATTAAAAGGAAAATTTAAACGTTTACATGCTGTGAATTCAAACATATATTATACATTGCATGTTCAATGAAAACAAACGCTTTTCTCAGCTTTCGACATTCAATCTTCTTAAGAAAAAAATACGTTTATAAAAATAACATATGTAGCTTTAACTAAACGTTCAAGTTTAATGGAACGTGACGTTGAGCGAAAAATTAATATAAAGCTTTGTTAAATAAAAAGTCAAATACTAATATACATGTATACATTACTACATTAGTACAGCATAATATACAATATTTTATACATCAAAAGTGATGCAATATTTCTTATGATTAGTTATAAAAAAAAAATAATTGCACGTAAGTTATAAAACATTTATTACACGTATATTAAAACATAGTAATATAATTAAATACCTGATGTGATCCCAATGGTGATGTAAAGAACGTGTATACTGGTGGCAAAAAACGATGAAATAAAACCCAATGGTACAAGAACGCTAGCTGTCAATGTAACACCATGCAGGCCAAGTGTTGAGATAAGTGCTCCACTAAACACACCTGTGAAATATAAAATAATATTTTACTTTAATGCCACTTTTTGGCCCTGTGAGATATAAAATGATATTTCACTTCAATGTCACTTATTGGCCCTGTGAGATATAAAATAATATTTCACTTTAATGTCACTTATAAGTCCTGTGAGATATAAAATAATACTTTACTTTAATGTCACTTATTGGCCCTGCCAGATATGAAATAATATTTCACTTAAATGTCACTTATTGGCCCTGTGAGATATAAAATAATATTTCACTTTAATGCCACTTATAAGCCCTGTGAGATATAAAATAATACTTTACTTTAATGTCACTTATTGGCCCTGCCAGATATGAAATAATATTTCACTTAAATGTCACTTATTGGCCCTGTGAGATATAAAAAAATATTTCACTTTAATGTCACTTATTGGCCCTGTGAGATGTAAAATAATATTTCACTTTAATGCCACTTATTGGCCCTGTGAGATATAAAATAATATTTCACCTAAATGTCACTTTTTGGACCTGTGAGATATAAAATAATATTTCACTTTAATGTCACTTATTGGCATGTCATCAAGAATAAATGTCATTAACCATTCAATATATAAACAAAGCAATGAATGGTCAAAGCAATGCAAATAATTATTTCACATATCTTTATCGCAATACAATTGTCCTTTATTATCAAGTTAGAAATTGATCATGTTAGAATTTCCTACTTAAATTACGAGTAACATCAAATAATGTAAACTTTGCCATTTTGATCATTTTAAAAATAATACTGCTTTACTTATTAAGCACATAACAACAAAAACTTTTGTAACAAATGGTGATTTAGATGTAAATATCAAATCAAGAAAAAACATAGTTAGAAATGATATTCAGATTCAAATGCAAAATCTGAGCAAAGTTTACATAAACGTTAATTAGAGATCAATATTTAAAATATGATGGGAAAAAAAAACAACAAACTCACTCACTCACTTACTCACTCACTCACTATTAATGTCCGTTGACGGCTCTTTAAGCTCAAAGAAAGACTAAGTGGGTTTTTTTTTTTTTGTTCTGTTATATTTTCCATAGTTTTCGATAGTACATTGGCTTTATAGCTTAACCATCTTTACCAGCTTTTGTTTTCGTGTCATGAAGAAGTATAGAGCGACTTAATTAGTATTTTGCATTGAAAACATAAATCTAAAATATTGCTTCAAGAGTTATGAACCTTGTGACATAAGATGCAATTGATGATAAGGAATAAGTATTTGAAGTTTGAGGAAGATACCTTTAAAACTAAAGAAGTTATAGTAAAATATAACATTTTTCAAGTAAAAAAATCTAAGTTTATGGGGAGATAATTCTTGCAATATTTGTGCTAGAGTTATGAATTTTGTTACATAACATGTGGTTAATGATAAGGAAAATATATTTCAAGTATGAAGTTGATACCTTAAGAAATAAATAAGTAACAGTAAAAATAATTTTTAAGGAAAATTTTAAGTTGAAGGGGAGATAAATCTAAAAAAAATGGTGCTAGAGTTATGAACCTTGTCACATAAAATGTGGTTAATGATAAGGAATATATATTTGAAGTATGAAGTTGACCCCTTAAGAAATAAAGAAGTAACAGTAAAAAATAGTATTTTTTTAAGGAAAATTCTAAGTTCAAGGGGAAATAAATCTGAAAATAGTGGTGCTAGAGTTATGAACCTTGTCGCATAAGATGTGGTTAATGTTCAGGAATATATATTTGAAGTATGAAGTTGATCCCTTAAGAAATGAAAAAAACAGTAAAAAATAGTTTTTTAATGGAAAATTCAAAGTTTCAAGGGGAGATAAATCTGAAAATATTGGGGCTAGAGTTATGAACCTTGTCACATAAGATGTGACATATATTTAAAGTTTGAAAATGATACCTTAAGAAATGAAAAAAGTTATAGTGAAACAAAACTTTAATCTGAAATCTGGACGCGGACGCCGACGCCGGGGCGAGTAGGACAGCTCTCCATATACTTCGTATAGTCAGTTAAAAATGTGGAAATATATCTATTAGCAAATAAAGAGATCAACTTTAATGCTTTTGAAATATGCAACATTCGTTACTTTGTTAAAATCGTATTTTAAAAAGGTCTATATGCATCTTAATTTATCTAAAGCCATTATCAAAATATCATAAAACATATCTTTGCCATATGCTATTTCTGACGCTAAGTGTCCCTTTAACGATGATAAATAGCACACCATTTTTACGTCTCTAACGATCAGCTTGATGACTTTTCAATCTTCTACACTTAACGTATAGGTTTCAGTGATACCGAAGAACCAGAATGAATTGTCTGATTTTAGATCGGCCAAACTAAACCATAAGAATGTTAACACTTAACATGCTGACTCTTAAATGGGCCTTTTTTTGGAAATATCAACTATATGGATATCAAAATAAAACAAGAGGGCCACGATGGCCATGAAGTCGCTCACCTGTATATAGCCCCCCCCCCCCCGGAGCGGGGCCAGTTTAAACCCCAGGGCTTTTATTTGAACAAACTTGGTAGACACCCATTAGAAGATGTTTCATGCTAAATAACGTAGCTCTAGCTCTTTGGGTTCTTTAAAAGAAGATTTTTAAAGTTTTTACTATATACATATAGGGAAAATCAATGACCCCCTGGGGCGGGGCCAATTTTGACCCCAGGGCTTTTATTTGAACAAACTTGGTAGACACTCACTAGAAGATGTTTCATGCCAAATATCTTAGCTCTAGCTCTTTTTGGTTTTTTAGAAGAAGATATTTAAAGTTTTTTCTTTTGGTTGCCATGGCAACCAGAGTTCTGCATGGAATTAAATTCTTTGAACAATTTTCAAAGGTGACCACCAAAGGAACATTCCTGTGATGTTTGGATGAAATTGGCTTAGTGGTTTATGAGGAGATGTCATTTAAAGTAAAAGTTTACGGACGACGGACGGACGATGGACGGACGGACGCCGGACGAAAAGCGATCATAAAAGCTCACCCTGTCACAAAGTGACAGGTGAGCTATAAATTACAGTTAGTCAGCCACCAGTATAGTGCCTAGTTAGACTGCACGGATGTGCAGGCTGGCCTGGCACTGTACTGGTGGCAAATGCTGAACACATTCTGTTCTAGAAGGATAAGGGTTCAATCTTTTTACCAAAGCCTAGGGTGACACCGGTCATCAAGGACTGTACTACCGCCGCCGTGGCTCTGTCCGTTTCATATGTTTCCATAATGTCTATGTATAGAGCTCCTAATGAAAACAACAGTGCAAAGTCGACCATCATTACTAAAGTAGTAACTACTAAAATCAGCCATTTGTTAAACCTGAAATGTTATAATACGTAGTTTTGTAAAATCAATTCATAGTTGAAACTATTTTCGAAATGCTCATACAGGGCAACTGTGGAGCGATATTCCATTTGATATTCGAACTTCTCAAAAATAGCACAATTTAGATACAGATTTAACATATGCAAATGCATCTATATCAGATAATCGGAGTTTGCACAAAAGTTTCGACATTATATCGTTACTATTTTCACGTGGCTAAATGTTTTTGCTAAATGTTGCTAAATTTGAGACAATATTTCAGTTTTTTGCATGAATAGATGTATGTGGAAGAGATCTCAATGAAGATATGATTGTCTCTATCAAAGAACCTCATGTAAACAAAGTATACTCACTCACTCACTCATTCACTCACTCACTCACACACTTTCTCATTCACTCACTTACTCACTCACCATCTCATTCATTCACTCACTCACTCATGTTGTTCTGATCAGAATCTCGCATAGAAAGGAGACATTGTCCATTCATAAAATAGGACGTTCATGTCAGTATTAAGCATCTATATACTGATGTTTGGTATTGTATATGAAATGAATATTCGCATACTAGTTTATGCAATTGATTATATACTTATAAATGAAATTTTTAGAAATATTGTTGAAAGAAAATGCATAATTTCATTGTCCGAATTTTAACTGTAAAAGTTTTCTTTTTCACTGCATATTGAACCATATTTTCCGTATTTTCACCGGTGTCTTGCCGCACTACTGTTTGCTTAATTCAGGCAATACACAAAATTTAAGTAAAAGTATTGAGAACTATACGGTCAAAAAAAATGAGAAATATACACATGTATAATAAACAGAAAATGCATTTTTTTTAAATGAATATCCTCTATATACTACGGTATTCCGTTTGGACATTAGTGATTTTTTTATTTCGTCCTTACCCGCGATGCACGATGGTACGATGGTGAAAACGCGATGGTACGTTGACACGATGATAAAAACACGATGGTATGATGGTGAAAACACGATGGTACGATGGTGAAATCGCGATGTCGCCATCGCGTTTTACCATCGAACCATCGCGCTTTTACCATCGTGCCATCGCGTTTTCACCATCATACCATCGTGTTTTTATCATCGTACCATCGTGCATCGCGGGTAAGGACGAAATAAAAAAATCACTATTGTCCAAACGGAACACCGTAGTATATAGAGGATATTCATTTAAAAAAAATGCATTTTCTGTTTTCTGTTTCCATCGCGATGCACGATGGTACGATGGTGAAAATGCGATGACACGATGATGAAATCGCGATGGTACGATGGTGAAATCGCGATGTCGCCATCGCGTTTTACCATCGAACCATCGCGCTTTTACCATCGTGCCATCGCGTTTTCACCATCGTACCGTCGCGATTTCATCATCGTGTCATCGCATTTTCACCATCGTACCATCGTGCATCGCGGGTACAGACTAAATAAAAAATCACGATTGTCCAAACGGAACACCGTAATATACTGACAGAGTGTTTTAACATATCTGGCTAATGACTATAACTAACTTACGGGAAATAAATTCATTTTATATAATTATGAACATTTTATTATCTGCTAATATGTAATACCGGAGCATGTACCTCACACTTAACAACTTTCTTGTTAATTCTTCTGTGGGTTGTTATAATGTCTTATATACTATCAATGAAAAATATGCAATACTCATGTATGTATATGTTTTGTATGTATTGCCAAAGGCAAGGATTTGCCGATTTGCAAATAAAATTTGAACTTAAACTCATACTTACCAACAACTTCCAGCGGTTTGATGTTATGCCTGCTAAATACTATCACTGTTATCGCAGACCTTCCGTGACAGACAAATTCACTTTAAATACTATAAACCACTTTTATAATATTATGTTGACCTAGATGAAAAAAAATCAACAAAAACACCAGATATCATGGTACTGAAAAGCAGTTTAAGATCGGCTACATTTATACTTACTTACCTAGAAAATCGTGGTTTATCCTTCAACTCCATAACATTGCTTTACACTATAGGAACTTTACTATCCTCTGGGCTGCTGATATGTGCATGATGTGCTCTGTGCTCATCATCATTTAATTATTTCGGCAAAGTCTTTAAAAAATATACAATCCATAAAGTAAACTGCTTTTCTCTATTTTTTTTCTTTTTCTTATTCAACACATTTTACAAGAATTGCATTATTCACACACTTTGTTACAGGATAAACTCACTTAAAATCATTGGAGCGTTACGTATAGTTCACGCAGAAGTACACATACGTAGTGAACTTCACTATCACAATTACTTCCCTTGTTTTCTATGTAATATATATAATCAATTTATCTTTATTTATATTAATATGTGTAATTTAACGGCCACTATTGTTTAATATTTAATATCTGGGAAAACAAAAGATTTGGTTAAATATAAGATATCTTACATCCGCTTAATAACATTGTCATGAACTCGTTTCATATATGTTTCAAAAACATATTATTTTATTACCCTTCCAGATTTTTTCCGCCTTTTTGATTGGATATTGATCACCCGAAAGAAATTGATATAACCGAGCCAGACGGGTAATATACACACTAAATTTCCCCGTTTGGTACCCAACGTTGTAAACAACATGCGCTGAGGTGATGCGCGTACGGTTCGATTTTACGCGGTGTAAATTCCGATTTAAAAGCACTTTTTAACTGTCAAATGATCAATATTTACCAAAGTAGAGTAATGATACATATTACCATCAGTATCGAAAACAAATATGACCTTGTGAAAGCTTGATATTAATTACAAAAAAGTGCGTTCAATAGACTACTCCTTTTCTCTTGTTTACTTTCGTAAGGTACGGGAAAAATACGTCATGTATTTATGTGACGTCATGTTGTGACGAAGAGGTATCCTAAAGGGAATCTTATTTCGACGTTTCATTTGAAACAGCAATGATTTTTTAAAAAATCGTCTAAACTCGGCAGGGGAAGGGTAATAAAATTATTATTTTGGTTTTGGAGTGATATATGTGGATATATTACCTGCCAAGATAAAATATCACCCTCGCCTAACGGCTCGGGTGATATAAAATCTTAACAGGTAATATATCCACATATATCACTCCAAAACCAAAATAACATATATTATTACCCTTCCAGATTTTTTCCGCCTTTTTGATTGGATATTGATCACCCGAAAGAAATTGATATAACCGAGCCAGACGGGTAATATACACACTAAATTTCCCCGTTTGGTACCCAACGTTGTAAACATCATGCGCGGAGATGATGCGCGTACGGTTCGATTTTACGCGGTGTAAACTCCGATTTAAAAGCACTTTTTAACTGTCAAATGATAAATATTTACCAAAGTATAGTTATGATACATATAACCATCAGTATCGAAACAAATATGACCTTGTGAAAGCTTGATATTAATTACAAAAAAGTGCGTTCAATATAGACTACTCCTTTTCTCTTGTTTACTTTAAATTTGTAAGGTACGGGAAAAGTACGTCATGTATTTATGTGACGTCATGTTGTGACGAAGAGGTATCCTAAAGGGAATCTTATTTCGACGTTTCATTTGAAACAGCAATGATTATTTAAAATATCGTCTAAACTCGGCAGGGGAAGGGTAATAAAATTATTATTTTGGTTTTGGAGTGATATATGTGGATATATTACCTGCCAAGATAAAATATCACCCTCGCCTAACGGCTCGGGTGATATAAAATCTTAACAGGTAATATATCCACATATATCACTCCAAAACCAAAATAACATATAATATATGTAATAATAATAATAATAATTATAATAATAATATCTTTCTTGAAAGAAGGTAATACATGAAGAGTACCATCGTACAAAACAAATAACATCTTAATTTCAATCAATAAGTTGTAGAAACACAAAAGATCATAAAACAATAGCAACCATTCCATTAAGAGTTTGACCTATATATGAGCCATGTCATTACAAAAACCAACGTAATGCGTTTGCGACCGGCATGGATCCAAACCAGCCTGGGGTCAGTATCTCGAAGCTATCGTTAGCATAACGACTGTCGTAAGCCTCTCGTTAAGGTTTTTACTGGTATCTCGAAACTCTCGTAATTAACGAATAATCGTTAAAATGCCCAATTATTAACGGTTGCGTTGAAGGTGTCGTATAGCTCTCGTTACTATCACTTTGGCACAAAAGGAAGAATACTTCGAATTTAAAATACACAAAAAAATGAGAATTATATCACCTTATTGATAAAAATGATGAACCTACATAAATATGATATTTTATTTCTTTTTCTCACATATCAAACATATGTAAAAGCTCTTTTAGTTTACATGAAGATGTATATTTAAATGCAGATGAAAAAAATTCATGTAATAACTGAAGCATCGAAAGGAATAAACTCTGAAATGTTTAATTTTGCACAAGACAATATAAATAGATATTTGCATGTACATAATGTTAAAAATGTAACAAAATTCGGTACTTTTTACAGAATTATATTTCGAAAAGTTACCTGTGATGTAATGATTTAATGACATGAAGAAAAATGCATTACGTTACGCTGCAAAAATCAGTACAACAGAAAGGCATGAAATATATGGAAATTTTGTTTGTTTAACGTAACAGATTGAAATATTTTGCTCTTGCCAACACCAGCTGTTATATTTTTACTTGCTATATTTAAATTTGTAATACATAATCCTTTCTTAATCCGTTGTTGAAGACAAAATGAAAATTTATCCATAAATTAACAGAAGGTTATATAAAAATCTGGAAACAAAATGATCCCTCGGAAGCATTAATCACAACAAAATTACAAGAGAACTGCTGACTCGGTTTGATTGAGTCTGTACATGAGGGATAATGAATACGTGCAACATCCCTCACGTTCCCTAGCACCGGCTTGGGCGGTACTCAATTCTCAACACTTAATAGTGCTGGCATCAATGATCCCGAAGGACCAGAAAAATATAACAACACTGAAGTGAA